GGAACGAGCTTGGAAGGATGGCTCAAGACAGAGATAAATGGAAGGAGCTTGTATGTGGCCTATACCATTCCAGGGGTGAAAGGCATTGATGTTTGATGATGATGAAGAGCAGCGTGGTAGTAAGAAGGAAGCGTTCTTCCAACTAATGACTAATGCTAGACTTTCTCTTTGACTACTTCAGATAAAAATAAGATTGTTGGCTCCTTTTAGTTTGATATCTCTTTCTATTTTCCTTCTTCTTTTTCTTCCTCGATTTGGTGACTCATCACCCTCGAAGACAGCTTCTCGTTCAGTGTAGGCCTATGTCTCTTTTGGATCTTTGGAAGATAAGATACGATAACAAAAGATGATACTTTACTGTTCCAGTGGGGCATTTTTTCTTGGCTGATGTGAAGGATGTGGCGGCTGAAACGTAAGTTGTAAGTGTGTAACTTTGTGGATAGAAACTTCGTACTCATTTATTTGCACACACAATGTGTAGGCCTAACATTATGACAAGAAGCTCCAAACTTATCTATGTGCACACTCATCTAGGTAAACACATTTGAGCGATAAAACAATTTACTAACGACCAGTAATAAACTCAGACAACGAAGTGTGTGTGTGTGTGTGTGTGTGTGTGTGTGTGTGTGTGTGTGTGTGTGTGTGCTTGTGTGTGTGTACGTAGTGAAATACCAAACCAATGTGCTTGGATCTGGACAATAAAGACTTATATTACAAGACCAGATTTTTCCACATCTTAATCTTATCGAAGTCACCCCCTTCCACGGCTGATCGATTTATACCGGGGAGAATTCCTTTTGGACCAGTGACTACACGGTTCCTTTTGGACCAGTTGTGTTCACCGATTCCTTGCTTAAATTTTGGAATCGATTTTTTTAACGTTTTGTTTTCTATTGCCAATAAATGCTGTCTTTTGACATAAATATAATTTGTGATTCTGAAGACCTGTGTATTTGTTGACCATTGCTCACCACTATGAAGTAGAAGTAAGACTTCGAACAGAATAAATATTTTGGTTTTATATCGTCTTGCATCTGTGTTAAAACTTTCTTTTCTTTGCCCGTCTCTTTGATGCACTCTTCTCTACCCATTAATTGGATTATTTGATTAATTACTTTTTCTTACTTTTGATAATGAATCTTGTAAATAACAAACAACACAAACAAACAAATAAATATACAACCAACCAGACAAACAAATTCCTTCCCTTTTATGTGTATAATTTATATTTATTCCTTTATAAATCTTGAGCAATTCCAATGATAAAAAAATCTGTTTCGAATTGAAACACAAAAACGGGGTTAAAAGTAAAACATCAGACCAACGTATTGTACTTTTAAGCAAAGAAAACTCGACCCTCAGTGTGTCATTCAAGTCCATTACCAAAAGCCTTTCAGTAGCCTAGCATCAAAAATCATACTGCACTCAGTCCGCAGAAATCAGGAGCATGTTGCCTCTGGGTCATTTTGAGTTTTGTGTTTTTCTGAAAGCTAGGATCTTCTTGCTTATTAAGCACTTAAACTTAAATTGTTTCTATTATCTAAATAGCAAAAAGTGGAAAAGTAAGAACTGAGAAAAACGCGTTCAAAGTTACACGAACATTTCTTTTTAATATCCGAATCCAAATGGGAATTGAATCGAGAAAATACATTTTAAAGTGGTTATTTTTTTTCTTCAAGAAACAGCTCTTGATTTATAATGACTGGTATGTATACCTCATAATCGACTCAAATTGACCACACCAAAGTTTTGCTGATATCTCGCTTCGTGGTTTAAAGACGTATTGCTGGTTACGATGCAGCAGCAACAATATTTATTTAATGCAATTTAAGGCAATAAACTTACAGACTTCAACAAAAGTTTAGGACCACTTTGACAGACAGTACTAATTTTTAAAATATCCGAAAAAAAGACAGCAGGGAATGTTTCAAAATGTTTGCTCTGAAAGTGTTAATGGGTTACCAACGCGTACTGCAAAGCCTCCTAAAGGACCAAAACCACCACGCGCAGCACGGAAATCCTCGGGGAATTTTAGCCGAATTTGCTGTTTTTGATCGACTTGTGTGCGACACCACGGACACTCCTCAGTTAAAATTGCTGGTGTGCGTCATAAACGGACGTATGGCCCGACCTGAGCTCACTTTGGTGGCAATATAAGCCTAAGTTTGGGCAAACTCCGGTACCGCATCAACATACCACCAAGACGAAAGCTGAGAGACTTTGATCGTGCCAGAGCTATGGAATGGCTGGAGGATGGAGTTGGAGCCCGAGAAGTTACCAGAAGGCTTGCAGTGTCATACTGTCATTGCCCCCCTGAGGCACCACCACCAAGCCACTGGATCAGTCCAAAAACGCCCAAGTGCAGGTCGACCCAAGAAGACCACTGAGAGTGTTTGCAAGTGGTCCCTAACTTTTGTTGAAGTCTGTACATGTATTATACTAGTCAACATTCACATACAGTGCGCCATACGAGGACCTCACTGGGTGAAGCCTACAAAATAGAACTACCAGATTTCAGATTGTCAGTTTGTTCGTGTTTTAGTGCAGCTTGCATTGTGTGCTACCTGCAGAATGTTGGAGGAGCAATGAAGAGAAGAAGTGAACAATTAACTCCGCAATATAATGGAGACCACGAAAACCTTTTGTCTCTCATTCAATAGGCCTCGGTTCGAATCGGACCAGTGACGGAACATTTTCTTTTCTAACATTTCCTCCTTTCACCTCCTTCCCTGCTCTCTAATAAAGTTCTGTTTTTTACTTTCGTCTCCACTTCTTGCCCCCACCCCCTCACCTCCTTTTGCCCCCTCCTCTGGGCTCCTGACTCTTTCTGCGGCCTTTCTACTGCTATTCCTTGGGCCCTTCTTATCGAACACCTAGCCTTCTCGGACAAGGAAAATGTCTTTGAGGTCTCATGTGCAAGTTGCGCACGTTAAAGATCCCTTAATAGCCCAAAACCGATAAGGGTATTCTTCGGCCGCCAACCGGGCGAAATTCAAAATTTCCTACCAACTGAAAAATTTTAGAGTGTGTCCCGCGCGCTTATATGACCGTATGCAGTTGCGAACGCCACAAAACACTTAGCAAAAAAAAAAAGGAAAAAAAAAAGAAAAAAAAAAAAGAAAACCTTCGGGTCTCTCCAGAAGAGACGAAATAAGTTTTAACAAAATTACTTACTGGGCTTACCTCCCTGACGTAGATCTAGAGGTAGCTCCTGCAAGGAGATGAAAAACTTTTCTGCGCCGGATGTGATGCCAATCTTACGATCAACCTAAAAGAATGTCCGGACTCTGGAGAGACCCGAAGGAAATGTTTGAAATTCACTAATTCGAAAAATGTATCACCATCGTTGATCCAAACAGAATTCTCGATTTCACAAAGACCGCATGTCTTTTTTGTGATAAGTGTATTACGGCGCTCGCAAATGCATAAGGTCACACGAGCACGAGGTGCACATAATAATATAACATTTTCAGTTTGGTTGGAATTAATTTTGATTTTTGTCCGGGTGGCGACTGAAGCATGCTCTTAACTATTTTAGGACCAGCTAGGGATCTATAACGTGCGCAACATGCACGCGGGATCTCTGAGATTTTTCACCCTTATCCGAGAAGGCTCGGTGTTAGATCCTTCGTACCTAAAGATCCGGGGGTGTGGCTGAAAGACAACAGGGAAAAAAGAGCCAAGGAGTAGCAATAGAAAGGCAGCAGAAAGAGTCAGCAGTCAGCATTCTAGACGAGGGGACAAAGGGGGGGGGGCAGAAAGTGGATACGAAAGCAGACGACCGAACATGGTTAGAGCAAGAAAGGTGATAGAAGGATAACATTTTCTAGAGGAACATTTTCCATCGCTTTCAGGTTTCGAAGCCGGGACCTATTGAATGAGAGGCGAACACCGTGACCGTTAGACCTCGAGAGAAGTTTGTCTTTACTCAAAATATAGATATTACTATTTTAAAAATGTGGTATACAGCTTTGGCGCTTCGCTGTCGCATGCAGGAGACCCGAGTTCGGTTCACGTATGTGAACGATTTTTATCGAGTTTCTAGGTGTTTCTGCTGGGATATTGTATCCCTCTCAGCCCGGGTTGGCCATGACAGGCGAGGTCAGAACCCCACTTCCTAAATGATCTAAATTGTATGAATTGGGATGGGGGTGGGGGATGCAGGGGGTTAAAACAAACCCACACCTGCAGTCCTTAGGTCTAGAGGCGGACAGTGAGTAATCGTAGCATGCCTCATCTTTCTTGTCTTCTGGAACATCTTTATAATAATATGCTGTTCATCAAATATATTTTAACAACAAAGTTTTTTTAAAATCCACCAAATTATTCTAAAATGCAAATTAGTGCAGTTGATAGACATTTAAAGCGAAATAGAACATCATTAATGCAACAACGTACAGACTTTGTTTTATTCACTTATTGGCAATTACATGTTTCATTCAGCATTGATCATATATAATATATACGTGGAAGAACTGAAAATTGGAGCAACTTCCTGCAAATGATTCGCCTCGTCACCTGACATTTAGTGTTATATATCAACCCCAGTATAGATCGATCAACCAATAGGGGAAGGGAATAAGACAAAGAAGTTGCCAAAGTTGGTCTTGTAATATATTAAGTGATCTGAGTTCATAACTGGCCATTACATAGCTTACTTGACCTTACTGCTAATTTGTTTGGAAATAGATTAGCATGAAGTTACTATTCACAAACGTACACATTAATTACAATTAAAGTTTCAGCCGTTACATTCTTTTTCTAAGATCCAAAGATACATGTACATACATTAGATGACAAGCTGGGGTGGTGGCGGGGGTGGGGGGGGGGGGGTGGGGGCGAGACATCAAACTAAAATGACCACACTACATCATTTTCGTCAATGCCCGGGACAACGATGAAATTTTGTGTTTGTGAACAACTAGATGCTGGGTTCCTTCTTCTTGCTACTCCCCTCTGTCTCAATTTCTGCGTGGTAAAGTCGCACAGATACGCAAGAGGAATGGGTTCCGGGAGCCCGCCGCTCTAGCTTGGGAGCAGATCTGCTGGAGGTTCGTTAAGTTAGTAGAGCCGGGGGCGGTCCCTGTGGGGGCACCTTGTGTGGTGGGCGTGGCTGGGGCGTTGCCAAAAACGCACTCCTTGCGGCTGGTGATTTTGGGCAGGTAGGCAGAGCAGGAGGCGAGGCCGGAGAAACGATTGTCGCGACAGGAGGCGGGGAGCTGGGCGCAGTTACAGCTCGTGTTGTAGAGGTCCTGTTGCCCTTCACACAAGTCGATGAGCGTTTGGAACTGGACGTTGGTATAGAAGTCCTGCAAGGAATAAAAGGATTAGTAAATATACGCAGCTTACTGAAAATCGGCGAAACAATGGCAATATAATCTTCAGTTAACATTCATGGGCTATCACTTTATTTCGTTAAAGATTTTAATTTTAACTCAAAGCAGGTGATTGGAAGGCGTCGCTGGTAGGCCTAACTTCTCCCCCCTCCCTCTATTTTTTCTCATTCTGTCTGTATATCTCGCCTTTTCCCTGTCCTAAATGGCCGTTAACGCTTTGATACGTTTCTCTCTCTTTACTTGAACCAACTCAAATATCAGTTAAACCGACACCAAACCTGAATTAAGCTCACATGAAACGCAATTTTTTAGTAAGAAGAAACGCACCACTGATTCACTGGGACTGGACACCAGACTGCCGACCAAGAAGCCGCTGCAGGAGGGCGTGGCGTAGTTGTCGATGAGGGCGGCACTCAGCTCGTCCGAGAAGCCCAGATCTCTGCGTGCAGCCAGCCACTCCTCCCGGGTCACACAGCCGTCCGTGGTCTTTGTGTCGTAGCTGTTGATGGCGTCTTGAATCTACCCAGGGGCGGACGGGAGGATGTTTCGTTAGTTGATGAATTCGTGTACTAATACTGAATACGTGTGCTTGTATAATAATAATAATAATAATAATAATAGTAATAATAATAATAATAATAATAATAATAGATAGATAGATAGATAGATAGATAGATAGATAGATAGATAGATAGATAGATAGATAGATAGATAGATAGATATATAGATAGATAGATAGATAGATAGATAGATAAGTAAAGTGGGGGTGGGATGGGTTACAGGGTAGGTTATATTAGGGGTTGGGAGGGGATTACAGAGTGGTCAAAGATAAAAAAGGGGGGGGGGGGGCGGAGAGAAAATAACTACTGAAGCCCCCATCCGAGACAGTAATGTTGTTTCAGAGGCAAATAGAGTACTAAAATACGTGACCATACGACCCCTAACCCCATGACCCTTGATCCACAGACCTGCTCAGCGACGGTTACGGTGCCGTCTCCATTTTGGTCGGTGTTCTTGATGGTGTTCTGGATAAGGTCGCCGACGAGAGAGTTGCTGATCCTTGCTGCCCTGCCCGTGCACGCAGATGCCACTCTTGGGCATCCAGCGTTGGGTTGTGGCTGAGGCTGTGGCTGTGGCTGTGGAACTTGGATTGGTTGTGGGGTTGTGGGGAAACCAGGACTGAAAAGGCCAGGAGGAGGGAAGGGCCAGGAGCCAAAAGGTCCTCCAAAAGGCCCATCAAAAGGTCCTCCCAAAAGCCCTCCATGAATTCCACCCCAGAAATGGCCCATGCATGGGGCGACCACTAACAGGAGAACGGAGCAAAGCAGGCGAAACTGCGAAGAAGGAGAAATTATAATTTGAGAGGTTATTCAAAATGAGTCTCACGAAAACACATTAGAATGAAACAGCGTCAACCTACACTGTTTACAACTGAGAAAAGGAAAGCAAAAGTTATAACAGAAACATGCAGTTAAAACCTAGATGTTTGAACAGTAGGGTATGTCAAAATTAGAAAGGGTGTTATTGTATTCCAACTGTCGAGGGATCTCAGCTGCAGGTCAAGTTTAAGATTATCCACCCACATGGATAGGTCTTATCGGAAATGGGCGTTAAATGGCGTCGGTGGCTTAGTGGTTAAGCTCTTAGACTCGCAACCGAAAGGTTGTGGGTTCGAATCCTGTCAGGGGCCCGACGATGTGTCCTTGAGAAAGAATTTTCCTCACTTCACCCAGATGGGAATGGGAACCCAGCTACAAACTGTGAAAGATCTTGTCAGCTTGTTCGGGTTTGAGCACTTTATCAGTTGCTTGCATTGTATGCTTCTCGGAAGCTGAAAATGCTTCTGAGTGTTCTATGGTCTCCTGGGGTAATAATATAACGTGTAAAGCGCATAGAGCTTTGCTGTCAAGCGGGGATATACTCTACACAAATGCTATTTTAAAAATTATTATTATTATTATTGTTATTATTATATGATTATGATTATGATTATGATTATGATTATTATTATGATTATCATCATTTAAAAAACCTTACTGAGTTGATAGTCTTTTTTTATTAACTTCTACAACTACTACTACTACTGCTGCCAACTACTATCCTACCGAAAATGCCATCTGTCTGTGAATCTGAGGCTATACGTTTAATCCTGAACGGGTTTCCTCCATGCGTTAGTGGGGAATCTCGTAACATTTTCGGTTTTAGCAGAAAGGGGGAATTTCGAGATAGGACTCTTTACAAAGGATGCTGAATCAGGTCAGGTTCTTCATAGAACGGAACTTACAGCTTTCACACTGAACTTCTAAATGTAAAGAAGAAAAAAAATTCCCAAAATTGGCTAAGTACTTCACAGAATCAAGCCCACAACGTCCAGGTTGTAAGCCTAACTTTTAGAGGAAAAAGAGCAAAACTTAATCTTGTCGTCTAACATTCAACTCACCATTGTGAAGATTCTGTGATCCACTGTTGTTTTTCACCACAGGATGACGGAGGTGGTCAAGGAAGAGGAGCGCCGGTGTGAATGAAGACCCTCCACTTTCTTGCGGTATTTATACAACCGTGCACCAAACTTTTCTTGTCTATGTTCATCAAATACAAAGAAGAAATCGTTAACCTTTTGCTAACGCGTCGCAATAGAACAAAGATATAATGCCTGTGGGCAGGGATCAGAAAAGAGGCCACGGGTTAAAGTTCTATAAAGCTAGGAGACTCGGGAAAGAGAACGGGATTTTGTGTGTGTGGGGGGGGGCATTCTTGTTTACCTTTATCTGAAGGGGAGCAGGAATGAGGATATGTGCAACCTGTTTTTGCACGGATATTTTGCGCTGTATTTTTTTAAAATTGTGTGCAATTTTCCTAACAATATGTGAGACAAACACTCCTGTTGTGTTATAGCTGCTGAGCCAGTCTCATCGAAAGTGTTTCTCCTTTCTGTAATGCTTTATGTAAACTTTCCAGGGGAAATACGAACCTCCCGATACCAACTTTTTTATCCAGCAACATTGATCGCTCTGTAAACGCACTGTTTGCGTCGATCATCCGCTAGCTAGTATGACGAACGTGGAATCAGATGTCCAAATTAACGGACTTCGCAGTAGATCTACTCATCTTCTATGCGTTGTTAATTTTTGTGATGATATTATTATTTAGGTTCAGTTTTGTTTCATCAGTTTTTCAACAGACGGCACTGTTCTCATGTATTCAGTGCTATTGTGCAGTAAATAACTAGGCCGCTCACCCCATATTGGGACTCATCCATAATATTATGGTAGAAACGAGGTGTGAGCGGGTAAATTCCCCCCCCCC